CGACGACACCGGCTCCGCCGCGGTCCTTACCTCCACCGCTCCTTTCCCAGCCTCTTCCCGCCCAGGGGCGGGGGTCCCGGGCCGTGCAGGTCCAGGCTTCACACCGTGAGGGGATAGCGGAGTGTCGTGGTGCTGACCATGACGGAGAGCCCGATCCCAGCACCGGCTTCGGCCACCAAACCCAAACGGGCCAGGGCAGCACGGCGGCCGGCAGCCCACCCCACCTACTCTAACATGATCGCAGCAGCTATCCGGGCCGAGAAGAGGCGCGGTGGCTCCTCTTGCCAGTCCATCCAGAAGTATGTGAAGAGCCACTACGAGGTGGGCCCGAACGCCGACGTCCAGATCAGGCTCTCCATCCGGCGCCTGCTCGCTGCCGGTGTCCTCAAGCAGACCAAAGGGGTCGGCGCCTCTGGCTCTTTCCGCCTGGCCAAGGCCGACAAGGAAAAGAAGTCTCCGACCAGGAAGAGGAAGACGGCAACAAGGAAATCCACATCACCCCGGAAAGCAGCTAAGCCCAGGAAAGCCAGGTCGCCGGTAAAGAAGCCCAAAGCTTTTGCCAGGAAAGCCATGAAGAAGTCGAGGTCCAGCCCGAAGAAAGCCAAGCCAAAGACTGTTAAGGCCAAGTCACTGAAGCGCAAACCCAAGAAGGCAAAGCATTCCAAGCCCAAAGCCAAGTCCAGTGCCCGGAAATCACCCAAGAAGAAGTGAGAAGTCTAGAGGCATTTCGGTACTCTCACCATTGGTTTCTGTAAATAGCTTTTGCCTTTATTTTTACCCCTTTCTATTGTGTTTAATAAAGAATTTATCTATTCCTGTCTGGAAATAGCTAAACCAAGGCAGTTAATGAAAGAAAAAATGAATATCTTTGGTATGGAGAGTTCCGGTTTTTAAGAGTTGCTGGCCTGGGTTTTTATTTCAACGTCTCAGAAATTTCTCACGTGTGTGTGTTGTTTTTTGTTAGTGCTGGGCTGCTTGTTGTGTGTTGGAAGTGACAGTGATTTTGCGTGTCTGTTGAGGCCATGCAGGATTTCGACTCCTGATCCTGCCCCAGCTCCCAGGGGGTTGTGCATTTGCTGGGGCCGGGCAAAGACACTGCCTGTGTCGGAGGGGAAGCAGGAACATGTGGCTGCCATGGAGAGCCGTGGAGGAGGAAAAGGGGCTCCCTGTTCCCTCCTCCGCCACCCTGGCTCCTCACCATGGAGCCAAGGCGAGGTGTGCTGGGCTGCTGGGAGTGAGGTCTGGCTGGTGGAGATAACCACTCGCCGTGATGCAGCTGGGTGGTGACAGGGATTTTTGGGGCAGGGACAGGACGGGGGAGGTGATGCAGGGCCAGGGTTTGTCCATGTTTGCTTTCAAGGCATTGAAGGTGTCCAGCAAGCGGGAAGGGGTTGATCCCTGGGGAGAAGGGGATAGACGGCTATAAGCGTCTTTGCTCCGTGGGGAGGAACGGGCCCGAGCAGGGCAGTGGGCAGCTGGGGCAGGGTGAGGCATGGTCCCACTGTCACTCTGGGGCTCTGGCTTTGTGCCCAGCATGGGCTGGCACCACTCCAGGGCTCACCTGACCTTGCCTGGCCCCTGCCTGAGCCCCTCCCTGGGCAGGGTTGTGCCGTCCTGACAGCCAGGTCTTGCAGGGAGCCTGCGGGCTGGCCCTACTGCTCAGCAGGGTCTGAGCCTCAGGCAGGAGGTGCCCGATACTCCTGGCTGTCAGCAAGGGGCAGTCCTTGGATGTCAGCAGCCCCAACCACCTGGGCTGGGAGCTCCGAAATTCCAGGGGCCGTGTGTGCCCAGTCCCCTTGGGCTTGCTGTGCCTAAATCTTGTGGGCCCAGAGTCTTCATGCTCCCTGATGACAGCTCCCAGATCCGTTGGCCTAATGATCCTAAATCACTTGGGCAGATGATGCCTGATATTTTTAGCTATCAAGGATCCCAAATTGTGTAGTTCAGGTTGCTGAAATCTTTGGCCTGAAGGCACCTAATCCCTTTGGGCTCTTTTTTTTTAAGACCCTTGGACCAAAGGCTCCAAGACCACATAGACAGAAGACCCTAAACCCCTTTCAAGAGTCAGGTGCCTAATCCTTCTGGTTATGAGGAGTTTAAACCACTCTGGCCACAGGATTCCCAGTCAGCTATAGTGGAGGATGGAGATTCCTGATCCAGCTGGACTTTTTTTATCTAAACCTTGTGGGTTTGTGGGTCACAAACCCCTTTGGGCAAAGGCACCCAAGTTCTGTGGGCTCGGGCACCGAATCTCCTTCAGCAGGTAAGTCCTAAACCTCTCAGACCAAAGGA